TTTCTTTCGTTCTCAGTTTGGGGTTGGAGTGGAATGGCAATAAGGAAAACGTGTTCTGCCTAAAACAAACTCTAATTTAATAAATAAATCCTGTGCCTCTACAAATGTCTGAGACAGCTCATTCCTCACATGCAAAACTATTCAACAGAGGAAAACTCAAACCTTGCACTTCCAATGTCTAATGTAGTTTTTTTTTTAATTTTACATTTAAAAATCTAGTCCAAAAAAAAAGAGGCAAGAAAACTATATTACTCTATTGAAATAGCACTAAGTGGTTTTAAAAAAAAAAAGAGAAAGATAAAACATGATCCGTTTTCTTCCCTAGTATCTGTCCACACAGTGGTTAAGAGATGGGGGAAGGGTGGGAGAAATGAAACTTGGCCCCGAAGGAAGAGGACCTAGGAGGTTCAACTGTGGCTGGATGAAATTACACACACACACACACACACACACACACACACACACGCCCATACCTCATTTACTCTCTAGGGGTGTGGAGCACAAGAGGGACCTTTGTGTATTTTATTTAACTAAACGTATCAGAAAGGGAAGGAAAGGCCAACGATAGGGATTTCTTCAAGGTAATGGTTTCACATTAGGTGCATGAGGGTCAACTCTACTTTTCCCCAAAAGAATATTATTAAAATAAACAGGAATATAAAATCTAAGAAATTTCCGAAGACAACTGGGTTGATATGTGTTTTAACTTCAGAAAAACAGAAGAGAACACACAGTAACACCTGGCTGGATAAAATTAGAGAAACTTAGAAAATTATAAATGATAAATAGAATCCACTTATAACGTAATGAGGTCAAGGCAGGATTCAAGGTGGCCTAACAGTCATGAATCCATACAGCTACTTAACCCTCAGGAGGGCATTCTGGCAGGGTGGTCACATAGCACAGACCTGAAGTTTTCAGAGCTGACAACGCATAGCTAAGGAATAAATCTATGAAATCGCCCCTATTCTTCCAGACAACAAACCATCCCGGGCCAGGGTGCCCAACGTGTGCAGGCCTGCAAGCCTGCATGACACACACCAAGATTTGGACACAACCCACCAGCCAAACTGCCCCTGGGCGAGATGCTTCAGGAGCCTCCTGCCGAAAACAGGAACCATTTCGGATTCTCCTTTGAGGCTATTAGCTCAAAATGTAAAACTACTAGGGATAAGAAGATAATTTGTTGGAAAGAATTCAATTTGGTTCAATCAAAAGACATTTTCCTTATGGTTAACTACACTGTGTATGCGCATATGTGTGTATGTGTACGTAAATACAAATGTACATATGTAGTTTGTGTGTATGTACAGTATACACATCTATTTAAATACATTCATACTGAGTACATGCTAGGCGTACTTGCTGTCTCCCCCAATGGAATGTAGTATCATTTCAAGGGGAGACTACTTCATGTATTGTACTTCTATCTCCAGTGCCTAACAAAGCCCATGGCACACAGCAGGAGCTTTAATAAAACCTGTTGATGGACTGTAGTGCACTGTGGCAGGTATTTGGGACACAAAAATAAAAGCCAATGAACATTCATTAAGAACCTACTATATATGCTAACCTACACTGTGCTGATACAAAGGCAGGAGACAGTCACAACACACAAAAAGATCACAGTCTAATGGACTTAAACAAGATACAGTTTCTAGGGGTTTGAGTTTTAAGGAATGAGCAACACAGTTCTTTCCCTAAGGAGCTTAAAATCCAAAACTGAAAAACCTAAAGTCCTTTGAGGGTCCAAGGTGATTGAGCACATACTAGAGCCTTTAGGGTAACAAAGCGCCAATGTGTTCCATCCTGACACAGAAAAGTGAAAAGTAAAATCAGCGGCAGGAAAAATTACTTTTTAAGGTAAATAAAAGAATATTGCCCACTTGGTTTCTCTGCTCAGAATTCCAGCACAGGTAAGAGGAAAGTCAGAGCAGGGCAGGTGCAAATCTTTACTGGTTTCTCTTAGATATAAAGGAATCAAGAATTTCACTTGCTCAGCTATCTTGGATAAGTAGCCATACTCATGAACACAGCAAGTGACCTGAAGGCTTGTAAGCATATCAATGTTATCTCGGTTCTAGATTTTCACCAGAGATCTGTTCTCTTACTCAGAACAGGGGAGGGGGGAAAGCAAATATTTAAAAATCTGGCACTTCTTACTTTAATAATAACAATAAAATAGCTGGCATTTATATATTACTTTAAGGTTTACAAGTGCTTTGCAAATCTCATTTTACAACAACTATGGTGGCTAAGTGCTAGTATTATCCTCATTTTACAGATAAGGAAACTGAGACAAACGGAGGTTAGGCAACCTGCCCAGGATCACAGAGCTAGTAAGGGCCTAGGCAGGTCTTCCTGATTCCAGGTTAAGGCTCTATTCACCTGACTATATTTTAATATAAAATGCTAATGAATATAGGTTGCCGTTACAGATTACACAGAGGGAGGGACTATACTCTGAAAAATTATTTTATATATTTTCTTACTTAATTTCATGATGTTTTATGAAAAGGGTAATTAATTTTAAAAAAAAAAAAGGGAGTTCCTTTTGGACAGAAACTTTCATTTTGGGAACCTGGCAAAGTGCCTTCAACCCAGCAGCAGCTTAAGAAAGGTTTACTGAATTCAACATTCACATCAATGATCATGTATCGGGGATAATCCAATCAGATGAAATTGTGTGGACCACAAGGTTTTAGGAGAGGAAGAAGGTTAAAATAGCGGGGCTGAATACAGCCACTTTACTCAAGTGCCATCAAGTGTTTGTTGTGTTGAATATATGACAAATTAAAGTTCTTCTAATCAGTCCCCTTAACTCCCAGAGCTAAACAAAATTAAAGGACCTAACAGCCTACCCTGAATATCAACTGAGTATCTGATATAACATGAAAATTTCCCAAAGTTACACAAGGGGTAGGGCAGAATATCTTCCTTCCTATTTTCTAAAAGTAAAAACCACCACCACTACCAAAAAAAAAGGCTTTTGTTTTTCCAAAATCATCATTTCTAATGGCAACATCTAAAATAATGTTTACTTTACAACTGTCTTCCTTACAATCATCATTCCAATTAAAACCTTAGTAAAATTTACCCCTTGAAAAGACACAAAACATTAGATTTATAATCAGTGACTGTGAAGATCTAAAGTAATTCTAATGTGGGTCAGGACATTCTCCTCCTTCTGGACCCAACACGCTGAACAAAGCTGAAGGACAAACCCGGCAGTTTGGCTCAGGACTAGAAAGCAAGCTGGACGTCCAATCAGAGGTTTCGGGGTTCTGACTCTTCCACTTAAAATCTGTGTGCTTTGGGGCAAATGCCTTCACCTCCAGAAGGCTTAGTTTAGTTTCTTCCTGTGAAGGCCCTTCTAGCTCCATCTCCTCTGTAGGTAGAGCTTTTATGTCCCTAATTATTTGCAAGTCCTCCCTCTCTTTAGAATGTAAGCCCTTTGACCGCTTTTTGTTTTTTCTTCTTCAGCACTTAGGGCAGTACCTGGTACTAAGCACTTACTAAACGGTTGATTGACACAATTATTGACTAACTTCAATCCAATACACAATCAATATGAAAATACATGTAAATTCCTTCCATCTACACTCAAGTTGTTTTACCATAGTGCAAATGGGCTTTGTTAAACCCTGAATAGGTCAGGATAACAAACTTTAAAACTTTAAAAAAAAAAAGGTATTAAGTATCTGTACTGGTTTCCAGTCATAGGTTCAAAGACTCAAGACACTATTTTCACAGAATTAAATCATGGGCTGTTCTATGATGCACTGAAGCAAAGGGATGAAAGGATGAGGTCTAAGGGGAATGGATCTCCGCTAGGCTACGGGTCATCCATTGGCGAGAGGGTTCAAGTGCAATCCAGAAGCATTTATGAAGCACCGACAGGCGCCAGGCACCGTGCCAAACCCAGGACACACAAAGAAAGGCAAAAGCAGTCGGCTTTGGTTGGAGGTTTGGTATTATCGCGTTCGACTTTTTAGGGATTTGGGGGGTTGGCACACAACCTAAAACTGATCCCAACGGGGGAGACAAGGTACACACGACCACGCGCAGAGGAGCAGTCCACGGAGTAAACAGGAGACCATCTCCGGAGGGAAGGTAGAGGCAGACCCCGACATTACCTAGTTAATGGGATCTCATGGGGTTTTCGATAGCCTTCGCTTGGCAAAGCACCTCGGACATCGCCCGGGCCTCGCACTTGGCCGTGGGGAAGACCCTTGGCCACAAGGACCCAAATTCCACCGACTTTCGGCCTCGGCTGCTGGGAGGAGCTGCAAGGCGGGCGCTCCGCATCCGCCGCCCGAGAGCCTAGCATCGGCCCCCCGCCCATTCTACCTTCGGCTTCCCTTAATACCGGACGTGGGCGGGGTGGCGGGGTGAGTCGCGCAGTAATGACAGGTGGGAGCCCGGGACCCCCACGCATCAGGCACGCACCCCTGTGTGCACGCATGCATTCCCCCCCCACACGCCCACCCGTGCCACAGAACGCGGGGCCGGGAGCCCGTTCCCGCGCGAACTTTGCAGGTAGTGGAGGCTGGTGGGCGGAGCGCCGCTGCCCGGCCCCGCCCCCGCCCCCGCCGCGCGCGCGCTCGCGCTGCTCCCCCTCCCCCGTCCCCCGCACGCCCGCAGACCCCCCCCGCGGTGACCTTCCCTCCCCGCCCCTACCCCCCCCAGTCCCCATCCCCGGAAGGGGGGCTCCGGGATCCGCGGTCCCGCACCCCCTCCCCTCGCTGGGGCCCGCGCCGCGTGGGCGCGCGCCGCCTCGCCCCTCCCGCCCAGCCCGGCCCCGCCGCGGCTCTCACCTGGCGGGCGGAAGCAGCGCGTCCTGCGGCGCGGGGCGGGGCCACGGGGCGGGGCCTAGGGGCCGGGCGTGCTGGGTCCTCCGCCCCTCGCGGCCCCGCCCCGGCCTCCCCTCTCCCCCCCTCGGGGGCGGGGCCGGGCACGCGCGGCTCGGCGGCGGCTCGGCGGCAGGGCCCGCCCCCTCAGCCTCCATGGCTGTTTGCCCGGCTGCATTGTGGGAGTTTGACCCAGAGCCGCCGGATGCGGGTGACGAGCCGCCGCCGCCGAGGGCGCCATGGGGGCCGTGACGGACGGTGAGGGGGCGCCGCCGGGTCGTGGGGAGCGGGGCCGGAGACCCCTGGAGCGACGCGACCCTCCCTCACAGACCCGGGCAGCTGGCCTCGGACCCAAGCTGTCCCCTTCCCCGGTCCTCCAGAGCTCCTCGGGAGGGGGCGGGGGGACCGGCCGCCCACAGGAAAGCGAGGGAGAGGGGGTCCCCGGCCCTGGGGGCGTCACGGAGGGGGCTCGGACCGCCCGATACGGGACAGACGGGCTGACGGAGAGGGACGCGGGGTCCGTGGGAGGGGCGCCGGGCGCGGGTGGGCCCCCCAGTCCGATTCCCCCCGGCCCTCCCCGCTGCGTCCGCCGCCGGTGGGGGGCAGGGAACGGACACGCGTGGGCTGCCTTCGGGGCCGGCGGCGCCGTCCGGGGAAAACCCCAATCGCGGCTTGTGTTATCAGGCACGTTTTCACGTACTGGGGCGGACGGGGCCGTTTTGTTGCTGGCTTTTGTGTCCCCTTGGCCTGGCGGGGGGCCGGACCCGTAAATGTGGGGGGAGAGAAACGGAGCCTCTGCGAACGCGGTCTGCCTGTTATTTGTACACGCGTGTGGGGGTGTGTGCGTGCGTGCACGTGTAAAAATGCACACACAGGTTAAAGGCGTGGGGGGAAGCTGGAAGTACTTCCCAGCTTCGTGATTCTTAGCCTCATGCAGTTTTGAAAGCACAAAAGCACTGGAGCAATTAACTAACCGTGATTTTGTAGGGAGACCAGGATTGGTCAGTCGTATCCGACTGTTCGCGACCCCAGGTGGGGTTTTCTTGGGAGAGGCACTCGAGTGGCCTGCCATCTCCTTCTCCAGCTGGTTTTACAGATGAGGAAACTGAGGCAAACAGATAAGTGGCTTGCCCCAGGGTCATAAATCCAGTAAGTATCTGAGGACAGATTTGAACTCAGGTCTTCCTGACTCCGGGCCAAAAGCTCCATCGGCTGTACCACCTAGTTAGTGTAAGTGAGCCACTTGAACAGCATCATGGACATAACTAGAATCAGTGATGGAGAACCAATTATAAATCCTGTAGGAATTTTAGTTTTATTTTGCTTTGATGGTTGATGGCTAGACAAGAGCATTTCTTTTGCAAGGCCTAGCTAAGAATTTTGCTCTTGGAAGTTTGAATCCCTTCAATTTTTTGTGTTTGTAAAGCTTTGGCCAGATCTTTTCAACAAGGGGAGTATCTTTGTTCAGTATTTAGATCCTTAGATATTGATGCTTAATTGGTCCTGATCAATACTTCTGGAATGATGGAGGGTTGAATTCCAAAATTCCTCCACTGAATTGTCTGTGGGAAGGCGGGGGTAGAATTTTTAAGGGTTCAGGATTGTGATCTTTCAAAGGGAAGATGCCAGCCAGTTTAATGTAATGCCATCTGTGTCACATCTCTCAAGTGAGATTGCAACACAGTGTCAAAAGTTGCTGAAAGGTCTGACAGTTTGACAGGGACATATGCCTTGTGTCTTGACTCTGAGAACGTTAATCAGCAATGAGAATAGCGCCTTACTGTTGTGAAGTCTGTACTGTATTCCCCAGCAGAACAACCCCAGGGTTTGAGGTATAGCTGAGAGATGTCTGGGGTCGGCAAAAGAAGAGGGAAATTGGAGTTGACATAGCATAATTTTCCATTTTCCTAAATTGTTCTAGGGTACAGTGTAATTTTTTTTTTCTTTCAGTGGTCTCCTTTTGAAGACCAATCTTACCTGTGCCCTCAGTCTCCTATTTCCCCACCTTCATCTCCTCCAGGAGTTTGCTGTCTATCATCTCCCCCCCCATCTCTTTCTAACTGCTGATTCCCCCCCCCACACACACACACACACACGCGCGCACTCAGGTCCTTTAAAACAACAAAAATACTTCATTTGACCTTGCCATCCATCTCATCAAGCTGCCCTCCTGTGCCTAGCCTTCTTTTCAAGACCAACCATCTATATTGGATTACAATCGTATGTATTTGTTGTTTTGCTTTGTTGTCTCAGTCCCCTGTAATCTAGTGTGGGACCCTGCTGTCTGCGGAGATTACAGATGATTGCTTGCCTGCTAAATCCAGGGATCTTTTCTCAGTCCTTATCTTCATAGATCTAGAGCCAAAATGATGAGAAAGTCAAGAGCTAGACTGGTTGAGGGATTTGTCCACAGTCACCCAAGTAGGAAGTAGCAGAGCCTGGAGTTGAAGGCCAGGGCCTTTCACTTTCAATCCAGTGCTCTTTCCACTGTACTTGGTACTATTGACCAAGCTCTCCTTGTGGACAGTATTGTAGCAGCTAGGAGGTAGTACAGTGGACAGAACACCTGAATTCAAATGTGACTTTAGATACTTCCTAGCTCAGTGACCTTGGGCTAGTCACATAACATCTCTCACCCTCAGTTTCCTCCTATAAAATTGGGATAATAACACCTACCTCCCAAGGTTGCTATGAGAATCAAGTGAGATAATAATTGTAAAATGTTTAGTACAGTGTCTGGCACACAGTAAGGGCTAAGTAAAAGTTATTGTTATTTTTGTTTCTCCTATCTGTGTGACTACTCCTCAGCTTCTTTTTAGAATCTTCATTAATTTCCTGCCTGTTGACCTGATTGTTTCTCAAGGTCCTGTCCTGTGCCTTCTTAGCCGTCTCTCAGTAATCACATCTGCTCTCATGGGCTCAGTTATTGTCTCTATATAAATCACTCCTAAATCTGTGTATCCAGGCCTAATCTCTACAAAACTCTACTTTTACGTATCATCAATTGCCTGCTAGACATCACTACCCGATTTCAAATCTAGGCCTCCTGCTTGCAGCCTTTCTCATCCTTTACACATTGTCTTGTGTATATTTGCCACATGATTAATTTTCTCAAAATCCTGCTTTCATGTTCTTCCCTAGCTTTTCATTGGCTCCCTTGTACTTAGTAACTGTAACTCTTATTTATAAAGCACTTAAAATATTAAGGTCCTTTCTCACAGTCACCCTGGAATGTAGGTACTATGAATATGATCGTCCTCTTGATGAGGTAACTAAGAAGTTAAAATGACTTGCCTTTGGTCTCACAGCTTATAAGTATCAGGTGAATGCAAGTCTTTCTGCCTAGAAGTCCAATACTCTATCTACCACCTTTTCTCTCTCGTGTTCTTGGGATTAGAATTCTACCTGTGTACTGGAACTATTGTTAAATGTTTAGGGAATGATTTATCAGGCAGACTCACTAGTAATCCACCAGTGTTTCAGCTAAGCTGGAACATCATAATTCTGGGGTAAAGACACCACAGAGGAGATAAATACTCTTTCAGTGGTCCTTATTCTTTGTTCCTCCTTTCCTTCTTTTTAAGTTCAGTGGAGCAGAGGGAAGAGAATTTGCTGGAAAGACCAACTGAGGATCCCAGTGGAATAGAAACTTTAGAGATTTGGGAACAATAAGTTGAAGTTTCTATTGAAAACACTTCACATGCTTTTTTTCCTCCCTTCTCTTTACTGTGTTAGTCTCTCCCCCTGCTTGCATCACTGTCATGTGGGCACACACAAACACATAAATATGCACATAGGCTCCCTGCCTCAGGCTTCCAGAGACACCTAATAGCACCTACAATGCTTAGCTCTGTTACTGGGACTCAAGGATAAGAGGTCGCTGTCTTCACCTGTGGGATTTTGAGCAACCTTAATCTTAACTGGGTCTCATTTTTCTTATTTATAAAATGAGAGATTTTGGTCTTGATGACTGTGATTCCTTCCACTCTATGCTAATAATGTATCACATGAGGCACACATTTCCCCAGTCAAGTTTTCTTAAAGTTAGACTCAAGGATTATCAAATTAATTCCATATCAGTACCTGGAAATTCTCTCCATTTCTTAGGGATTTTAGCAGGAGTAAAGTAGTGTTGACAAATTTGTTTTTCCATTATCAGTCCACCTGAGCAGAGTATAATTACAGTTGTTCCATTGGGTCATTTTAATATTCATTGCTCTTCTTTCTTTTAGATGAAGTTATAAGAAAGCGTCTCTTAATTGATGGTGATGGTGCTGGTGATGATAGGAGAATAAATCTGTTAGTGAAGAGTTTCATTAAATGGTGCAATGCTGGATCTCAGGAAGAAGGGTGTGTCATTTTATTGTTGTTTATGTGCCATTTTCCCCATTTGATTCAGTCTGTAAATGTTTTGCTCATTCTCAATTTACTATAAATGGAGATATGTTCGATTCAGTCAACTCTTGATTTTTTTCAGACATTAACTGTCAGTTTTGTCTAAAATGAGACAAGGTAGCACTAAGCTGGTGTTCAAAGTACTTCATTTTGGCTTGTAAAGAGAAATGTTCTCACCATTAGAATTTTCCCCAAGTGGAATGGGCTGCATTCCCCTTCCCTGAGGTCTCCAAGCAAAGGCCTGATGATCTACTTTGTCGGACATGTCATAGGGAGAATTCATTTTGTGGAATATATAGAACTAAATGAATTCCAGTTTTGGAATTCAGTGATTTTATGTGATTAATTCTTGGGGAGATGAGTTTATCAAAGAGGGATAAAAGACCAAATTCAGATTGCTTATTTGGTTCCTTTCAACAGTGTGATGAGGGAAGGATGTATTTGAAGTGACTTTTCAGATTATATTTGTATTTTTTTTTTAGTGGTATCCCATGAGCAAGATAATCAAAATTTGGCTGCATCTTCAAACAAATGAAAACTTAGCGAGATTTCTTGTAAATTAGCTTTCTGCACATGCAGAAAAAAAAGAGAAAAGGAAAACAATGAAGTTATAGGTTTGATTTATTTAGGTGTTTGTATGAAATACATTTTAAAGGTGGTTTGTTTTAAAATTACTTATTCAGCCCAACTGAAAATCGCCACATATAAATCTAGAGTTTATTAAAATGTAATATAACCCTAAACTTAAATTTGTAGATTAAATTCAATAAAAGTATGCATTAAAAAAGAAAAATTTAAGTTACTCTAAATATATTTTAATTGAGAATGAACTCAGAACCTAGTATGTTTTCATATGTTTTCATATCCTCTACTGAAGTATAATAGTAAGATTCTCATAACTGACAGCCATATATTATCTTTAACAGTTTTTCTCTATTTTAAGCATCTTCATTTTTTATTATTTTTAGCTATAGTCAGTACCAACGCATGCTGAGTACATTGTCTCAATGTGAGTTTTCAATGGGGAAAACCCTGCTTGTATATGATATGAATCTCAGAGAAATGGAGAACTATGAAAAAATTTACAAAGACATAGGTAAGTGCAGTTAAAGTGATTTATATCTTATCAGTCTTAAAGTTTGGAGTTTAAAATCTGAGAGAATGTTATCTAGAAATCTTTGGTTCAGAAAAGATTCCCATATAATGTTTTAGAGAAATTAGTTCTTTTAAAAATGGTAGCATTTTATTGGCAATTGAAAATTTAGTTAAATATATTTCAGATTGATCTAGCAAAAGATTGTTGTTGATGAAGTTACAGCTGTATCTTTTTTATTGTTTTTATTTTTTACATAGAAAATAGCATAGCTGGAGCACATGAAAAAATTGCTGAGTGCAAAAAGCAGATCCTTCAAGCAAAACGAATACGGAAAAATCGCCAGGGTAAGAATAGTGTGTGATGTCATGTGCTCTGAGGTGAGACCTGTAGTCTAAATTATGATGAATTACAAAAAGAAGGAAACCTCTGAATCTTAAAAATATCTCTTAATGTCACTAACAAATTTATGCTGGCTGGAGTTACTTCTTTACCAGGTTCAAATGGCATTTATAATCACTGTGTTTTAATCAGTGCATTTTTTTTAAAAAATGCCTACTACATACCTTGTTAAGGCCATTATGCAGAAATTGGCCGTTTTGCAAATGGTAGAGGGATGTGCACCAAGTGCAAAGAAAAGCTTGATTCACAGCTTAAAGAGCAATGTATCTGGCTAGATACGTACCTTTTACGTATATTTATACATATTACCATATTGGTCCAAATCTAGGCCAAGATAGGCTGCGACTCTAAAGTGAAAAATCTTTGAATCGTACACTGTAAAATAACACAGAAAATACTATACATCAGAACAAATGGCTGTTCTGGAATTTTGCTATTTGAAGGGGCTGGCAGCTGTAAGCAGACACTGTCACCCAATTCATAGCCTCCCTTTAGGCAAGAAGAGAGGAAAGATGCTGCATCTTCCATGTGGTTACCAGGGGAGACTTAGGGGCTAAGCAAACAAAAAGAATTTGTTTTGATTATAGATTGAACTCTTTTTTTATGTAATTCATAATTGGAAGGTTAGCCTGCATTTGGATCAATGTATTGTATCTTAACTGATTCTCACAATCATCCCTGAGAAAGAGAACAGGAGCATGAGTATTAATGTTCCCATTTTACACAAAGGTTAAGTGACCCCTACAAGATAAAACCAAACCTTTGGATCAGGCCTTCTCTACTATACTGGCCAGTTTTTCGGGGGGGTTGGGGGGGTGGAGTGCCTTTGGTAAATAGCCTGGGCTTGTGTCTTTCAGAATATGATGCTTTGGCAAAAGTCATACAGCACCATCCAGACAGGCATGAAACATTAAAGTAAGTTTAATATTTTACTTTGCTTCTAATTAATGTGTGCTTACACCTCAAGGTAATAGCAATCTCTATTTTTTTAAGAACTTAAGCATTTGTAGTTCTGAAACATCTGTTTTTATTTAATATCCCTAAAAGTGTGGCACAGAAGAACGTGTAACATTTATAAAACTCTTGTACCAGATTGAGCTACTAGGGAAAATAAACTATCATTCTGAAATAATGAGAGAACAGGTTGGGTGCTTAATATTATACATTATTTCATTGCCTAGAACAGTTCTTGATTGAAAATGCATGTTAGCACTTCAAAATTACCAAACAACTGTGTAAACTATTCAGATATGGCAGCCTGATTGGTTAGTATATTCTATTCTGCTTGTCTCTGATACTGTGTATGGGTACTTTGATTTTTTACAAAGTTTTGACTAAAAAATAAATTATTTGATATTGATTCTTTTTTAAAAATAGGCAAAATGTATATTACTCACTTTACTCTTCTTTTTTAGGGAACTAGATGCTTTGGGGAAAGAATTACAGCATCTTTCTCATATAAAAGAAAATGTTGAAGATAAGGTATGTATTTATGTCAGTCAGTCAGATATTAAATGCTTAGTCTGTGCCAGGCTCTGTACTAAATGCTAGGGCCAAAAACAGTCCCTGCCTTCACAAAGATTATGTTTTAAAAGGGGAGACACCATGTAAACAACTATGTAGATACAAGATATGTACAAAGTGGATGAAAGACGATCTTATTGGGAGGCACAGGCCGCTGGAGGAGGGGGGAACAGGAAAGGTCTCCTCCAGAAGAGGGGATTGGAGCTGCATCTATAAGGAAGCTAGGTGAACTGAAGAGGGGGAGTATTAGGGGCCTTGGGGATTCCAGGGCAAAGGCGTGGAGGCAAGAGATGGAACATCCTGTTTTGAGGAAGAGCAAATAGGAAGGGCCCAGGAGAGGAAAGAAGTGCCGTTGGTGCCAAGAAGAGCAGGCTAGGGTGCCATTAGAGTGAGCACAAGGACAACCTGATCAGACCTGCATTCCACAAAAACCATTTTGGCAGCTGAAGGAGGGAGGGATGGGAGTTTGGCCAGGAGACTTAACTAGAACACGCTTGTATTAGTCTGGTTAAGGAGTAGTGAGGGCTGGAAGGAAGGTGGTGGCTGGGTGAGTGGAGGGAAAGAAACATGGGAGGTGTGGAGGTAGAAACAGCAAGGTTCTGTCAGCATGAGTATCGATTGTATTTTTGTACATCACCTTAAATTTAAACATTTTCTTTTCTTTTTAAATCAAGCTGGAATTAAGGCGAAAGCAGTTCCATGTTCTTCTTAGTACTATCCATGAACTTCAGCAGACCTTAGAAAGTAAGTCCCTTATTTAAACTAACAGTTTCCTTTTAAGTATTGATAACCTATTTTTTAAAAGCGGAAACATTTTTAGAAAGAGTTAGACTAGCACATTGCATGAACCTTGTGTCGTGCCTGTCTCTGGGGAGGGTTACAGCCACCTTTTCATGAAAAGGAAGGTTAGAACTCCTCAGCCAGCTTGAGGGAGGGTGCTCACTAGACACTAGATGGGCGCATGGTGCACTCTGGGATTCGGTCATTTTAAAATGTGGGTGAGTTTCCTGAAAAGGTTCCTGGATTAAGGCTCTGTTATGACTAGGGTTGTGTGAAGCATTCTATGTGGGCGTCATCACGCTTATCACGGGCACGCACTTGTTTCATGTGTACTTCTCATTTTCAGATGATGAAAAACTCTCCGAAGTGGAAGAGGCTCAGGAAGCAAGCATGGAAACCGAGACGAAACCATAGGCAAACGCAGGTCTCACTAGTGTGAAGAGAGCTAAACATGGCTGTCTGAGTTTCCTTTCACGTGTTAAATCATTGTAACTTTGGTGAAACTAACAGACTGTGGATGATCAATTTTTATCAATTTTTTTCAAATGTCCAAGTAGGCAAAGAAACTATTTTAAAGGAAGTTTGTTTTTATGAAATTTTTTTATTCAGATGTTTTCAGTTTGTATTTTCATGTATATTTTGGTAGTTGTTAAAATGGTAAAATTGGTATTGATTCTCACAAGTTGTATTTTACAGAGAAGCACTTCTAGAATGTACTCATAAACATATTCATATATAGATATGTACACATGCATGCACGCGTGCACCCTCATTGGATGCGTACAACATAGTAGCTGAGTCCTCAGCGGCTGTCCAAGGGACAGAGAGATGATGATTTATCCTCATGCTGAAGGAGATTGTAAGCAAGTCTTCTTGACTACCAGACCAGCAGTTGACCACGATTTCTATGTCACGCTTCTTCCACGTATGGGGAAAACACATGAGCAAATGAATCCATTTCTGACCTAGAAAGATGAGTTGTTCACTTTTAAATGAAAGTTAAACAGGTTTAGTCATTAAGGTTATAAAATATTTCTGAAAACAAATAGATATGCTCTGTTTGGTTCATGAAATCATAGCATCTTAAGAGTTGGATGTGACCAGGAATCCTTTCCAGCCTGTCCCCACAAGCAGCCCTCCCACCTCTGCTTGAAGACCAGCGTGAGGGGAACAAAATTCCAATAAGCACATGGTACATTGAATGCAAAATGCACCCGTTTGTAGTTGTCCTAGAAAGCCCCTACAGACAACTCCCTGCTACAGTGCTTTGTGCGTAGTAGGGATTCAGTATAGAGGAAACATTCTGGAGTAAGAAGCAAGAGAATTGGACACGGTGGTGGTGTTAATTGCTGCGTTCTGTGCCGTCTCTCACCTCTCTCCATGAGCAGCTCCCCAGGCCCCTTGTCTCTGCGTCTCCCCTCACCCTGAGGCTAGTCATCCAGGCAGTATCTGTTAATCTTTTGCCATGCATTAGGCCCTAGGCGCTGAGGGTACAAACGCCTGGCAAGTAACTGCCCTCCGAAAGTTGATGTTCTTTTGGATAGGAGGGAGGAATGATATCTGCCATCATCCCTTTTATTTCTCCTCTCTTTCCCCACCCTGACTTGTGCCCCCTCCCCAATAACTCCCAGTCATGCTCAGGGCTGGTATCCATGTTGAATGGAGGTAGGTCATTAAACAGCTAACAAACAAAGAAGAGCACTTGGGTAGGGAAAGAAAAACCGAAGTAGCAGCTCCTTGAAGGAGGAAGAGATTAGGGGAGAAAAAAGGCCAGAAATCCTTGGTTTGCACATAACCTGCCAAGCACCCCTTTGTATGGATTGAGTTCCAGGTCTCCCACGGCAAGCTCCACCTGGTGGGTGGTGCCAAATCACAGTGGGTCTCTCCAGTGCAGAGGGAATGTAAGCAAGAACCGCACCGAGAGGATGGCGTTCACTGCGGTCACCAATCCTTACAGGCTGGGGTGTTTCCATTTAATGTTCCCTGGCCTACCAGCCAGCACATCTCACCTCCCTGGGGGCCCCATGGGTGTGGCAGGCAAGTGGGTGGGGGGAAAGAATGAAGAATCTTTGCTTTAAGAGAGACCCTGCCTGGAGGTCTGAGTAAACAATTTACTTCCCCCTTATTGCCCAAAAGCAAACTGACTCCCAACCAGGCCCTCCCTGAGGAAGAGATGGGCGATGGTCATTGGGTATCCAACTGTCAGCATGTGTGGAGAGATCCGTCTGTTCTACGTCACAGGAAACGATGGGCTGCATTGGCCTGTGCTGGAGCCCACTCACGGCTGGGCTGCCATGTCTGCCCACTGACCATCACAGCCAAAGCCTGTGTCTGCCAGGACCAATCATAGTCTCCCCTCTGCAGTGTGGCTCCTGTGAGGCCAAATTTACTGCCTAGCTGGGCTTGGCAGGTGCACTAGGGGCACCTCTCCTGCCCCTTCTAGGCTGGGACCACGTGCCGCCTCCCTGCTGCTCCACCTGTAGTTTATGAGGGCCCGAATTGCTACATGGGCCAAAGGGTTCTGGCCTTTCATGCTACAACTTGGTCTGGACCTCCATTGTAAGAAATCGTTCCTGTTGCCAGCTGGCCTGCACTGAGGCATCCTGATGTCTTGAATACACAGAGCAGATATCGAGACTAGGAGACGCAGGAATACGAAAGGCTAGTACGTGGGCGATCGCCACAGCTGACCTGGTAGAGGCCTGAGCTCTGCAGAGACCCTTTGCCAGAAGCTCCAAGGAGAGATTCCAGTTCACAGTTCAGGAGAGAGACTGGAAACAAAACTGATGCAGCTCCCGTGCCTGTCCTCAGCAAGTTAACTGGAGTGCAGCTGGCACGTTTGTCCGTTCTCCAATTCCAGAAATGTCTCTAGGCTCCTGTCCTTTCAAATGCCTGCCTCCCCCAACAAAGTCCACGTGGCCCAACTCCAGCTGGCATCTCAAATGCCAGAATACGAAAATGCCACTCCTCTGAGGGGACAGCGAGGTGGGGCAGTGGGAGGAGCGCTCGGCCTGGAGTCAGGAAGATTCGGCTTCCTGAGTTCAAATCTGGTCTGTGTGACCCTGGGCAAGTCACTTCACCCTGTTTGCTTCAGTTTCCTCATCTGTAAAATGAGCTGGAGAAGGAAATGGCAAAGTACTGTGGTATCTCTGCCAAGAAAACCCCAAATGGGGTCACGGAGAGTGACTAACCAACGGAACAGTAACTCCCTTGAGGGCAATTGTTGGACAATACTGAAATTCCAGGGCTCTTAGTCTGCGTCCTGTCACTGGATGTTGGCAGTTCCTCCTGCTGCTCCTTCACCTGCCTGCCTGGCTCTCCTGGCTTTCTCCTTAGTAATCTCTCTCTCTCTCTCTCTCTCTCTCTCTCTCTCTCTCTCTCTCTCTCTCTCTCTCTCTCTAAATACGTGTGTACATGTTATAAGTATATGTATGTATGTATACACACACGTATATGTGCACATGTACAAAGTATATATATGTACACAGAAAATATATGCATGTTTATATATACTTTAAGAACACACACACACACACACACACACACACACACACACACATGCAGAATTTAACTCTTTAGTGTTTTTGTCCAAGTCACTTAAACTCTATATACAAATACAGTTATGGGACTAAGGACTATTTGTTCATCTTTGTTGCCATTTTCCAAAAAAAATTAAATAATTTTCCCCCATTCATATACATAAATGTGTCCCCCTCAAAGGGAGTGGGGCTTTCAGTAGGCTTCACCCAAGAAAATTAGATGATGCCTTTTAGCAGTACCAAGGCATCCAGTCTTAGCGAGAGGAGGGTGGTCTCATTCTTCTCTATTTGTCCTTTTCGGTAAGAGGGAAATAGCTTTCAGTTCCTTCCTCCTCACCCGCTCACACCCCCCTGCTCCCACTACAAATTAATTCTTCCTGGCAAATTAATACTTCCTCCAAAGGTAAACTGAGTTTTGAGAAAATCAACTAGTGGAACTTAGAAGACACTTTGAGTTATCAGGCTGGAAGACAAGCTGGTGGGTCTGAGAGATGGTTTAAGGCAATTATCTTCAGGGTTCAGTTCTTCAGATTATTACATATTCACAGAAGTCTCTCCTTCCTGAATAGCTTAAGGCAGTTTATTCTGTAATCTTCCTGGGTTGGGGGGTGACTCGGCAAACACCATCTGGAGGCATCATTGAAAGCTAGTCTGGGCTCACCTTCCTCTGCACAATCCATCCCCATTTTAACGAAATTCTCTTCCAATCCTATATGATGTGGGACTAATTGTTCTGGGTTGGACCTGACTCAGGCCAGTCCCTGGTAGTTTATGGTGGATAATGGCACAAAATGAGACATTCATAATTCATTCAACAGAGACAGCTAGGTGGCACCTCGATTCAGAAAGATCTGAGTTCAAATGTGGCCTCAGACACTTACTAGCTGTGTGACACTGGGTAACTCACTTAACCTGTGTTTACCTCAGTTTCCTCAACTGTAAGATGGGGGTGATAATAGCACCTACCTCCCAGGGTAGTTTGAAGATCAAGTGAGATAATATTTGTATATTATTTGTGTATTTGTATAGTGCCGGCACGTGGTAGGCTCCATATAAATGCTTATTCCATCCATCAGTCTTAGCCATAGCAAAAGAAGAATATTCAACAGCATCTGCCCTGAGGACAGCTCTAGTTTATTCAGCTAAATGACGTTTCTTTGCCAGAGTTGGTGGTTTTCCACCAGCCAAACATCAGAAAGAGGCTAGTACCCCTCATAAATATTTTGTATTCATGACCAGGAAGGGAAGAACCTGGCTCTTTAGTCCACTGAATCAATTAGGTCTTTAGGATGGATTCAATGCCTTTTATGGAAAAACTAACCTAACTTGGATGCAGGGAAAGAGATATTACTTCTACCACTAATCCCTACTCTTATCGTACATCCTCACACTGCTTTCTCCCAGCTGCCTATTGTCTAAAACAACTTGAATCTTTTTCCTTTTCCTTTGAAATGTGATCAATCTGAACTCAGTCCCAAAGACCCTGGACTCAGGATCTGGTTCAAATCCTACCTCCTAGACTTACTACCTGTTTGACTTTAGGCAAGTCACGTCTCCTTAGGCCTCAGTTTCCTTATTGGTAAAATGAAGGAGTTGGACTACATGGTTCCTGAAAGCTGTGATCTGGTGAACCTTGAGGTGACTGTCTTCCTTCAGCCTAAAGGAAGAAGAAAAGGAAAGGGATGAGAAAGAGCTTGCCAAGAAGAAATACTTTTTAAAAACTATTTATACCAATAATCACCCCCCCCCCAATTTCTAGAATGGTAGAATAGAGGAGACAGCATGACACAGTGAAAAGTGTGATGAATTTAGAATCAAAGGGAATTTGGGTTTGAATCCAAGCTCTGATGCTGCCTGTGTGACCTTACTAAAGTCACTAGCTTACTAGACCTCCATTTCTTTAATTTGTCAGCCGAAAGGACTGGATCAGTGATATCTAACTCAAATAGAAAAGAAGGTCACTAAATTGTACATAAGGATCCCTGCAGGTCCCATATTGACTTAGAAAACCACAATTTCACATTATCTTTGTTTCATTGTATTATTATTTATTTTGTTGAATATTTTCCAAGTATATTTTAATCTGGTTCTACCACACTGGGGAGTGTTGAGGGTTGTATGGGGCAAACCCCCTTTCTGACATTTATGGATTAGATAATCTAAGGTCCTTTCCATTTCTCTCTCTACATCTATACTTTTATAAGAAAAGTTGTGAGTTGCTCTAGAGGTCAACAGTGGACCAAGGAGGGCTATTTCTAAAAGAAGCGGTAGGTTACATCTCACGTGACAAGGAGTTTACCTGGCAATATTGGTAGACCCCTGGAGCCCTCATTCTCTTGATTTTTGAATTTACTTTTTTATTCTGGACTTAACAAACATCAAATAAAATGAGTGTTTCAGTATACAAAAAGTATATATATATATATATATATGCAAATCTGTATTACAGATAGCTCACTTTTCCTTTTAAGCATGTAATACATTCATTCACCATGTAATTTGCAAAGTT